GAAGGAGCTACAAGAGGAATACAATCGACATTTACAAGAAAAAGACAAAAGTAGAGAAGAAAAGCTGAAAGACAAAGAGTTCATTTCTAAGGAGTTTGTTGTAGCTTGCTATGATTTGCAGGCGGTTATAATTATACCTAATGGAGAAGCGTCGACATTCTACTATAAATCGAAAATTAACTGTTTAAACTTTACGATATGCGAATTAGGTGTAGATCATACAGAATGTTATTTTTGGGACGAGTCCGACGGTCAGCGTGGAGCGAATGAGATTGGCACCTGCGTTTTAGGTTTTCTTCAAAAAAAGTCAGCAGGAAGTGATTTAGATATGGATGTAATTTTCTATTCTGATAATTGCTGTGGTCAGCAGAAAAACCAGTATATTATTGGAATGTATATTTACGCAGTTAAGAATCTAAAGTTTAAATCAATTACCCACAAATTTTTAATTAGGGGGCATACCCAAAATGAAGGGATGCTGCACATTCAATAATTGAGAAAGAGATTAAAAAGACATTACGGTCTGGTCCCATTTACGTCCCGGCACAATATGTAACTGCTATAAGAAATGCAAAGAAACGTGGCAATCCTTTCGTAGTTAATGAAATGTCTTATGCAGATTTTATTCATATTAAAAATTTAGCAAGCGTAGCAATAAAGAAGAATGTTAATGGAGAAGCAGTAAAGTTATCAGATATTAAAGTTATAAAAATTGAAAAAAATGATAATAATGATATCCAAATATTTTACAAAACATCCTATTTTGACGACTATAAAGAAATTGCTCTACAGCGAAACTTTCACCGTATTTGTGACCAGCAAAAATTAAGTCCGTTATATTTTAATAAAATTGAAATATCAGAACGCAAGAAAAATGATATCCAAAGCCTTATTACCGCCAATCTCATTCCTCAATTTTATCATTCCTATTATAATCACATTTTAAAAGAATAAGATAATTAAACTTATTGTGAAAACAATATTTCTTAGAATTTTAATTTTCTGTTTGTTAACCACTTCTGTTCACAATTTAGTAGTTTGGTTTATAATTTGTTCTATTAAAAATAAAAAAAAAACGTTTCTTTAACTTTTATTTCACAGTGTACTCCTCAAAATAAATAAGCAAAACATGTCACAATTAGCAAATATTTTCCAAATCATGCAAAACAAAAATGACACTAAAAACAAAAATCAGTTTTAGCTTAGCTTGTGACATATTATGTCAGAATATTACACCAGGTGATGTATTTAGCCATTAAATACATTGCAAATCAAGACTAATATTAAGAAAAAACTGCCATATATTGTTAAAAAAACAAAATTATCTTATTAATTTTATCCCCGAAATTAAAAAATGCTCTACTGTAAAATTGTAAATTTGGCATAGTACACTTTTGTTTTTAACGTGTATACTATATTTTAACTACACTTATATGTACTACATTTTAACTACACTTATTTGTAGTACCTGTAGTGAGTTTGTTTGCAAAGAACATGCGATTAGCAAAATCTCTTGTCCCGAATGTAACAATGCACATAATGAACATGAAGACAGCGATTAGTGGAATACCTACAAAAATATTTTACTGTAGCGTATCAGCTTATTTTTAGATTTTTTAATTCTTAGCATTATTATAGCAGTTTCTTTTTTAGTACTCCTTAAGATGATGTTCCTTAAAAATTAATTTTTTTGTATTATTACTCCTTACTATTACTATTATTTTGTACTAGTACTCCTTAAGATGATGTTCCTTAAAAATTAATTTTTTTGTATTATTTAATATTTTTTATGTAAGTAACCTACTATGTTTCCCATGTATTCATAAAAATATATTATAGTTTTCTTTTCCTCATCACGTTGATTTTTATGTGGTGTAATAGAACGTACACCACGCGTGTAGCAGCGTTACGCTTAAGGTTAAGGTATTTTTAGAAATAAAGTACTAAAAGTATACAAAAATACACATTAAAAAAAAAATCAATCCTGCAGATTTTTTTAAAAACTGTCATATATTTTAAAGTCAAATGCTTATAACCAGACTTAGGCAAATATGCAAATTGCATATTTTGCATATAATGCATAAAAAATGCAAAAATGTCAAATTTTGCATATTTTTATAAAAGTGAGCATAAATTGCATATAATTTGAAAATTTGGTGTTAACTATATATTTTTATATTCAAACTTACAGATAGCATGAAAATGCCAATATTTAATTTTGTTTTATAATCACTTGGTATTCAAATTCTTGGTATAGTAACTAATAAAAGACAGCGGCTTATAGTTTTGTCACGTTTTGTCCTGGAATTAAGGGTTTGTGTAAACCAGTTTATGTCTCTAGGTAAAATTTATTTGCGGTCATTTCACTTGGTTTCACTTTTGTTGTAAAATTGAGGCGTAAACAATGTGTATTTCTAATTGTGAATAATTATTGTGCTTTGAAAATGCCGAAAATAAGCAATGTTTCAACTTGGATAAAACCTTACAAAGAGCTATCTATGGATATGGATAAAGTTTATTGCTCATGTTGTGGCAAAACCGTAAGTACATACGTATTATTTTTTATTTTATTTTAAAAATTTACACGGTGGTACAAACAAAGATTTTAAAATTGGAGATTATGTTTAAGAAAAGTACCGACACAAGGCTAGTTCGCAATAAATCGATGTATTTTTTCTTTTTTCAAGCATTTTTTAAACTTCTTGCGATAAAAAATAGGATACCTATTTAAAATTCAAATCATTCAATAGTCTACTGAAAGGTCGCTAACATTTTTTTTTCTAACAATAGCATAGTTTGCTTTAATTTTGCTAAAAACAAAAACATATCATATATTGGACTTAATTAATTAAGTGCTTTTAATTTATGCTCACAGTATTTTTTCTTTAAATGTAAACAGAAAAGACCAAGAGCCTCTTGTAAATATTTGGGGGTTCTTCCTTCTTGCACAGTCATTTCTTGACATTTTCAAGATTACTACACCGATTTTTATTTGATTTAATTTAAATATTTTAATTGTTATGCAAAAACGGTTCATTTTTAGTTTATTTCTACAATCTTAGATTTTAAAAATGGGTACAACTATAGAATATTTATATTCTTTTTTAGATTTCATCTGAAAAAAAAATTCAAATAGATCAGCATGTCAGAACCGCGAAACATTTAGCTAAAAAAGTAAAAACCACATCCGGTGAAAAATATCAACCTTCAGTGTCCAAGTGCTTTCAGTCAAGTTCCAAAAAACAAACCGAACAAGAAACTTTTAACGAAGACTTGTGTCGTGCATTAGTATCTTCTAATATACCGCTTTCAAAATTATCTAATGAAAACTTTAGTTCTTTAAAAAAATATATTGCAAACAAAACATTCACAGTGAACGAACTCTAAAGAGAAATAATGTCAATTTTTTATACTCCTCAGTTATCCACAACATAAAAGCCAAAATAGGTAATAATTACTTTTACATATGTGTGGACGAGACCACTGACTCCTGAGGAAGATACATTGTGCACTTATTGATTGGTGTACTTAGCGATGAAACCTTTCCAAAATCGTATTTAATTTCCGGTAAGAAAGTGGAAAAAACCAACGCACTAACAATATCACGGTTTCTACAAGAAGCATCAGCAAACTTTTTTCTTACTTCTGCTGTGCCTAATGATAAATTATTGCTTATTTTATCTGATACCGCACCATATATGGTGAAAACAGGACAAAATTTAAAAATATTTTGTCCAAACTTAATACATGACACTTGTTTAGCGCATGGAATAAACAGAGTTGCGGAAGAAGTAAGAAAACAATTTCCACTAGTTAACAGTTTAATAGCGAGCGTCAAAAATTCCTGAAATCACCTGTAAGAATACAATGTTACAGAGATATGCTTCCTGCTGCTCCACTGCCACCGCAACCCATTTTAACACATTGTAGGACATGGTTGGAAGCAGCTAATTTCTATTCTGATCATTTTGTTGATTAAAAAAAATTAACATTTTAACGGATGATAGTTGCCAATCTTTATTGGAAGCTAAGCAAGCCTTCCAAAATAACATCCTCCAACAGCAACTGTCATTCATAAAATCAAATTATAATTTTGTCCAGAAAACTATAACTCAATTAGAATCCTCCAAATTATCATTGTTAGAGAGTACAGTTTTAATAAAAGAATTTGAGTCATTATGTCAAAATGTTAAAAATACGGTAAAGGTAAAGAAATTTTTAAAAAATTTAAAGTATCCATGGAAAAAAATAGTGGTTACCAGGTTCTTTCTGAAGTGGTTCAAGTATTAGCTGGGACATTTTCGAACCACTTAATTTAGAACCATCTATTATATTAAATTTGAAAAATGCCCCAGTTACATCAGTTAATGTCGAAAGAAGTTTTTCTATTTACAAATATATGTAGGTATTCCGATAGAAGCCATAAGTTTTTATTAGAAAATTTTGAACATTATTTGATAATCTATTGTTACCACAATTCAAAATAATATTTTATGTTAAAATAATTGTATATGTTATGTATTTATAATATTGTAAGTATTTGTGTAAATAAAAAATCTTGTAAATATTTTCAGATTATATGCGTATTTTCAAGATATATATGCATATTTTGCATAAAATATGCATATTTTGCATAAATACTGCATATTTATGCACATATTTCATACTTTTTTCTTTGCATATTTGTCTAAGTCTTCTTATAACTAATACATAAAGTGGATTACTACAAGAAAAATTAGGTGAGATACTAGAAATAGCGCAAACTAATAATAATCTGCAATTCTCATCACTCCAATTTTATGTTAATCTTATGTTTTTTCTGCTGTTATGAATTCTGAATTCTTGATTATGAAAACATCAGTACACTGGTTGTGAATGTTGTCTCCAAAGAAATTAAATTTTCCGTAGTTGAAAATTCAAGTTGTTTTTGTTTAATGTTAAGATTGTTGGAACTTTTTACAAAGCGTGGATTGTCGATACTTCTGCTCAAATTAATTCCATTAATTTGTTATAGGAACATTTTCTGAGCTTTGCGGTGATTCTTCCTTCTTAATATACGTGTACCTCATTGCCAGCCACGAAAAGATCAATATGTCGGCCACCATCAGTCCACAATAAAGGAAAAAGTCGTTGCTCTAAAATAGAAGAATAAACTAAATCATAAAAATAAAAGTGTTCTTAGTTTATACCACAAACACAGAATATAGGAAGTCGATAATTATTAAGTCAATTCAATAATTTCGTTAATTTTTTGAGTGGTCCTAATCCAGTAAAGCCTGTTGTAATGTATAATGCATCGGTTTTTTCGCTTCAAACCTTTTTATACCATGTGGTCCATATGTATGGAATAAATTCATTTTTAGCATTATTATGTACGATGTGAAAAAACATGAAACAGGTCGATTTTTATTTTTAAATTGACAATTTACAGTATAAAAATATTACCCCCCTCCAGCAACCCCTTTGAAATATAAGCACCCCCTCGAAAATTTTAAATACCAAAGGGAGTTCTGTGACACTTTGTTAGAAAGGGATTATAGTCTTCTGTTTAGCAATAAAAAGTTTTTTGAGTTTGTGCAATCATAACTGAGAAAATTCACTTTTACAATTAAATTAAATGTTAAACTTGACCACCATTATTCACTTCTTGACAATAACCAAGGCGATTTTGGAATTCTCGTACATTTTGTATGACCTCGGAGGTTATTTTGCAAATTTCTTTCAACTTCTAACTTTTAAATCAGCGATATTGCCTGGTCTATTAAAATATACTTTAGAAATAATCAGGTATTTTTGTATCTGTTCTGCTAAACATTAGGGAAAAAACTTTAAAGGATAATAAAATATTAGTCCAAAAGCCAAATAAACAATTGATATGAATCTAGTAGGCTGCTGTCATTTAGGTATTTAAAGTTACTAAACGACATCAGTATAATATTTGTGCGCGTATTAAATTTAATTATAGCTCATTTGTCCGAGACTTAAAGAATAGACATTTTAATTATGATTGGTTGTGGTAATAAAACAAGAACTCAAAAGGGGGTTTGTGAGATGTTTAATAATAAATACCTTGGTCAACAAGTTTCGCAGTCTACACTTGACAAAATTGAAAAGAAGTTTCGTTATACTGTACATCTAAAACATATTGAAAAACCATGTAGAAATGTTAAATTTACTGATGAAAAAGTCAGATGTACTTCTAGAGATTCAGGCAAATTTGACTAAGCTAACTCGAGAACTTGCCGCCGTCAATGATATAAGTAAATCATCTATTTTGAGAGTTTTGCATAAAGAAAAATACCACCCTTACAAAATTCAGTTGATTCAGGAGTTAAATGAAAATGATCCTGACAGAAGGCAAGAATTCTGTAAAATGATGATGGACAGAATGAACGCAGATTTGCAGTTCATAAACAAAATAGTTTTTTCTGATGAAGCAGCATTTTATTTAAATGGAACGGTTAACAAACATAACTGTAGATATTGGAGCAGAGAAAATCCTCACTGGTGTGTGAGACTACACACGCAATATCCTAAAAAAGTTAATGTTTGGCCTGGTATCATTAACAATAAAATTATTGGTCATTAATTTTTTGAGAGCAAAGTTGATTGTGAGGTTAATCCAGATTTTTTTATTAACTTTTTAGTGCCTACATTACGAAGATTTCCTGATGTTAATCATTCAAATGAGATGGATCGATCTATTTATACCAATAAGACGTATATCCACCTCATTTTGTACAGTTATATTAAAAAAAGGGTACAAGTATTAGAAAGAGAAGTTAACGTCATCCTATTTGTGTAAAACCGGCTGGGATTTTTGGAGGTTATCAAATGTCACAGGTTATTAAAAATATAAATCATTGGCGTTGAGCATTAATTAGACGAAACCATTTATTCAACAATTATATAAAGAATAATTTTAATGACTGTTACAAATAGAATTTAGTATTTGGTGATAGAACCGTCTGCTTCTATAACTTTATTTAGTCTATTTGGCATACTTTGAATTATATTAGATATCATATTTGGATCAAGATCTTCCCAGCACTCTAAAATTTCTTTTATATATTTTTTAACAATTATGCTCCAAATGTTTTCAATTGGATTTATATCTGGACTGTGCGCAGGCCATGGCAATACTTCCAGGTTTTGCGTTTGAAACCAATTCCGTACGGCATGGGCAGTGTGGACTGAACAATTATCTTGTTGATATATAAAAGTATTATTAGGATACAATTGCTCAATAGAAGGGAGCACATTACGTGTTCCAAAACGTTAATGTAATTGTCGGCAGTAAATCTTCCCTCTAATCGCCAACAAACACCAGGTCCATGTATACTAATCCAACCCCATACATTTACAGAAAAACGTCCAGATTTATTATGAGAGTGATATATCGTCCTTTAAACCTAGTATTGGCTGGACAATAAACACGGATTTGACCGTTATAGGTCGATTGAAAAGTCTTTTCATCAGTAAAAATGACGTTGTTCCAAAATTGTGGGTTGCGGTAAATATAGTTTAGTGCAAATATTACTCTTGCCTGCCAATGTTCAACAGTTACTAATGGTTTTTTAGCAGCTGGTCGGTTTTTAATTCAGATCCATTGATCCTTTTGCTTACAGTAGGTTGGGCACCAGGAAATCCCGTATGAATCCTTGTATCCTTCGATGTCGCAAATGGATTATCTCTAAGAATTGAACTAAAGCAGCATCTTGTTGAGGAGTGGATACTTTGGAACACCCTGAACCAACTTTTTCTTTTTAATGATTGTTGTTGGACCCATCGTTGCTTAATTCTGAAGATTGTTTTCAAATTTCTATTATAGAAATTTGCTAGCGCACGAATTGACCATCCTTCTTCCATTTTCGTAATTATTTGAGCCTTTTCAATCTCACTTAAATGACGAGGCATATTAATTTTTTATTGTACGTAACATTAAACCTTCTATCAAATTAAACGTCATTGACGTCTATGAGTTGCATTTTTGATCACTTATGAGATTTGATAACCTCCAAAAATCCCTTCCGGTTTTACACAAATAGGATGAACGTTAACTTCCCTTTCTAATACTTGTACCCTTTTTTTTAATATAACTGTACCTATAGTTAGAAATTATTTAAACGAAGTTTTTCCCAATAGGTGGATTGAAAGACATGGAACGATCGAATGACCGGCTAGATCCCCCGATTTGACTTCTCTCGATTACTTCTAATGGGGTTATTTAAAATCTAAAGTATATTTTAATAGACCAATCAGTATTGCTGATTTAAAAGTTAGGATAACGGAAGAAATTTACAAAATGACCCCCGAGGTCGTACAAAATATACGATTTTTTTTTGTTTTTTATTTTTTTTTGTTAATTTTATGTTATTTTTTTATTTATTCTTTTTTAAATTATTTATGCATTATAGAAGGATGAACAAACACCAATTACCTTTATTAAAAATTAATCAGTGCGATTTTAAAGTAGCAGAAACATTTAAATACCTTTAAATAGTTCTGCAAGTAATGAAACAACACAAATAGGACAAGGAATACTATACGATTATTAAAATATTAAATTATAAATAAAAAGATAATAAAAAACAAAAAATTAAAGCCACCAAACAGAATATATAAAACAGTAATAAGACAAACATACGTAGCCGAAACTTTAAATCTTAGTTAAAAAGAAGAAGAAATCTTTGAAGATATTTAAAAGAAAAATTATGAGCATGATTATGGGACCCAAGAGAATCAACTGAAACGAAATAAGGTCATAATGAATTTGAAAATAGATGATATAATGAAGAGAGAAAACGTAAGAATAATTAAAACACAGAGAATTAGGTGCTACGAACATATTTAGTAAAGCAAAAAACGTAGCTCAATGAAGATTAACGGAATGGACATCAGACGCACACCCAAGGGAGACCCAAGATACGATGACCAAGTTAAAAGAGATTTATGAACATTGGAAATAAAGAATTGGACAAAGACAGTACTATGTACAGCAACTTGAAGGTAAGTAATTAACAAGATTAGAAATTGTCAGGACCTGTAAGCAGATGTACCGAATAGCAAAACCATTTTTACAAAACTTTGGTCAATAAATATAAAAATATAAAATATTTCAAAATTATTGTTTTAATACTATAACCTACCTTTTTATTGAAAAACTCCATAGATGATATAACAACAATAATCAAGTTTCCAAATGCAGTTGTCAATAATAAGCAAGCTTGAACTAAAGACTTCATCGAGGTCGGGGATTCAGCGTACGAAAACTCTATTCCTGGGATGACAAACATAATTTCAGCAGCAGTCATAATAAAATATTGAGGAAGTAACCAAGCTATATGGATTGCATTGGGTTTTGTCACTATCGTATAATCCATGTCCATTTGTTTCTGAAAGAAAACAATTTTCGAACTAGTAAACAGTATTCAATTAATTATTTATTTTACTATACTTAAAAAAAAAACTAGTTGACCTGACGAACATCGTACCACCTTAGAATTAAATAGTGTCAAAGCTCAAAAAAATACTCAAAATTATTACGTATAAAAAAAGTTGAAAAATTTAATGGTTGCTAATAAACAATATTTTTGTTTTTGCAGTGCATAAATACACGGAGATGAAGGTTTCCCGACACGCGAATAATTATTGTCCGTGCACGAAACATGGAAACTCTAAGTAAATTCCGCAAAATTTTAACGGTTAGTTTTGCAATTTGTTTATCATTAATATTTATGTTGATATAGAAAAAGTCAAATGCACAGGAAATTGTAGACACTTAAAATAAATGATAAGTTCGCGGGAATTATCGGCATAAGCGGGATCAAGACATCGTCTCTTTTGTATTTTTCCTTGATGATCGTTACCTCATCGATATTATTTATTAGCCTTTTCCTAATCAATCTTCGATTAAACAGTCCAGGATGATTACCGTTACGCATCATAATGACAACTGATCCTTACACTTCTTCTTCTTGTACCTGTACTGAGCCTGTAGTAAATTTTCATTGACGTTCGTACCAAGGTAGGTGTATGTTTTTACTTTCTATTGGTTGACCATTTACTATTGTTGACTATTGATTAAAATCTGGAGGGCTTCACAACTGTCGATGAATACCATCGTGTTATTGATACATTCTTCGTTAATTCGAATTCCGGCTTAAAAATCCTCTCCTGCTTCTTAAAAGATTTCCTCAGAATATATGTTAAATTTTGATTTAATGATAGACGACATTTGATTTCAGTAAAGATTGTTAATAGTTCTTAGATCACAGGTGTTTATTCCAATATTTCTTAATAATCTCATCACCTTTTCGTGTTGTACTGTATCAAACGCTTTATGTTAATCAATGAAGCATGCATTAATATCGTAATTTACATCTCTACATCGTTGGAATGTAAGGGATAGTGATGCGCAATACATAGCCTCTCCTATTCAAATGTCAACCTCATCTGCCCGTGAGATGATCTAGATCATGATCATCCGGTACATTTTGCTAAATAACAAACGAGGCTCTGGTGTCCGAGTGATTGCCGGTATAAGCAATCCCCCACTTACTAATCAACAGCTTCGGGTGGAAGAGTCGGTAAGTGAAGGGCACCTTCTTGTCCTAGAAATGGAAAATCATTTCTAAAGACGGGCGAACCAGACATGGCCAATGGCGTGGAGATGCAACGGGAAACCAATGCATTAAATGCTCATAGAGCATCCTTAGTTAATCATCATGACTAACAATACAACCAAACACTCTACTGATCATGAAACTCGGAAAACAAGATCCGGCAGAGGAGGAAACTCACAAGACTGCAAGTCCTCTCCGGTCGTCAACATGCAAAAACCTTGCAAAGTAGCGACTTGGAATGTTAGAAGTCTACATCAAGCTCAAAAAATACATAATGCCGTTAAAGAAATGGAAAGGCTGAGTATAGATATTTTAGGAATCAGCGATGTCCAATGGCCGACTCAGAAAAGATAAAAATCAACAATAAAACAATATATTATTCAGGAAGTCAAGACGGTTCACACAGATATGGTGTCGGGATAATATTAAACAAAAACATTGATGAAGCTGTAATTAATTTCACTCCATACTCCAACAGAATTATACTCTTACAATTAAACCAGAACAAACCCAAAATAAACATCCTACAAGTTTATGCTCTAACTGCGGACAAACCAGAGAGCGATATTAAAACTTTCTACAAAGACTTAGACAACCTTTTAAAATCCATTAAAATGTAAGATGTAACAATTTTATTGGGAGACTTTAACGCAAAGGTTGGAGAAGAAAAAGTAGAAGAATATCCAGGAGGAAACGAAAGGGGTGACAGGCTTATCGAATTTTGTCAAGACAATAATTTTGTTATAGCTAATACATTGTTCAAAATGCCAAAGAGAAGACAGCAGATCAAGAAGAGAGAATTGTAAGAAACCAAATGGACTATGTATTAGATAGACAAAGATACAGGATCGCAATTATAACCTCAAAAACCTATTCAAGTGCTGACATAGGATCAGATCACAACCCAGTAGTGACCCAAATTAGGCTCAAAATGAAAATAATAAAACGAAGAACAACAAATGCAAAAATTGAAACAAGTAAATTATGGAAACCACTCAGCAACGTTGCCACTAAGGCAACGCCTGGCAGATGAAATCAACAACGGATTAATTAATGTTAAAGAACAAATTCTGCAAAATACTAAGACGGATAAAAAATGGTTATTAATAAAGACAGAAATAGATAAAAGCCAAAAAGAAATTATAATACCAACCAGATATTAAAAGAAACAATGGATGACGGAAGAAATTTTAGATTTAATGGAAGAATACGTCAATATAAAAACAAAGATAATCAGATGTACAAAAAAGGAGCTAAACAAATATAATACAAAATAACGAAAGCGAAAGAACAATAGTTAAAAAAACAATGCGCAGAAATAGAAGAATACCAGAAAAGTCATGATAGTTTTAACACACATAAAAAAAATTAAAGAATTAACTCACAACAATAGAACACGAAAAACCGGAAATACTGAAAGATGATAATGGGAAACTTGTATTGAATACTAACGACAAATTAAAGAGATGGACAGAATACATCAATAAACTGTTCAAAGACAGAGCAGATGGAGATAGAAGTAGAAGAGGATATGATTTTAAAGTTATTAAACGAGGAAATTAAAATGGCATTAAAAAACAGCAAAAATGGTAAAGCAGTGGGTGCAGACCAAATCCCTATAGAAATCTTAAAATGCATAAATAATGAAACCTTTGACATTATAGTAGACTTATTTAACTCAGTATATAAAACAGGACACATACCGAAACAATGGTTACTCTCCTCCTTTTGTGCTATCCCTAAAAATACAAACGCTAAATATTGTAGTTAGAATAATATCACATTCACAAATTATTCTTGAACATAATACATGGTCCTATAAATAAAAAACTGGAAGAAGGAATAGATGATAGTCAGTTTGTGTTCAGAAACGGACTAGGAACCAGAGAAACGTTATTTGCTTTTAATGTGTTAGCTCAGAGATGTATGGATATACATGTTAATGTGCATGTTTGCACAAAAACCTTAAATTAGAACTGAGAGTAAGAGCACTAAGATGCTACGTATTTTCGATACTGCAATATGGACTTGAAAACTGGACATTGAAGCAAGAACAGATAAATAAGTTACAGTCTTTTAAATGTGGTGTTATAGGAGGATGCTTAGAATAGCATGGATACAAAAGAAAATAACCCGGAAGTATTGCGAGAAACGGGCAAAGAATGCGAAATAATAAACACAATAAAAATAAGAAAGTTACAATATCTGGAACAAGTAATGAGGGGACAGCGATATGAACTGCTAAGGCTGATAATACAGGGAAAGATAAGAGGAGGAAGGAGTATAGGAAGAAGGAGAGTGTCATGGCGAAGAATTTAAGGGACTAGTTTAAATGAAGTTCTATAGAACTCTTCAGAGCAGTAGTAGAGTAAGTAAATATAGTGATGATGATATCCAACCTACGATTAAGAGATGGCACTTAAAGAAGAAGACATCGTTAAAATAGTACTTGTATGCTAAATAGAGCCTCTCTCGTACCCACTGCGTTCCGAAAAGTAAACTGTGTATGGCTGATTTTTTCTTGGCATAGTCATATCCTTTAATGCATTTTAATGTGGCTCATTGAGCTGATAGTTCGGAAATCATTGAAGGATACGGATTTTACTTTCTTTGGTAGAGCAATAAACGTTGACTTTAGCCATGAGCTTTATGAGTTTAGCATATGCATTATCAGGTCGAGAAGTTTTGCCATCTTTTAGTTGTGATATTATTTTTTCCACTTCATCTGAGATCTTGTATGTATATGGTCCATATGAACATCTCTAGATATTTATCTGTAATGATGTTCCCCTGTTGATTTTGCAGTTTGCTTGCTATGTTGGATTTTGAATACCAGCTGCTTGTTTTACCTTTTTATGCATACTAAATGTATCTTGTTTTTGTTCCAACAAGTCTATCTCTTTACACTGTGTTTTAACCAATTATTTTTAGCCTTTCATATTTCGGTTCTTATTTGTCGTTTTTGTACATTCGTTTTCTTGATTTCTGCTTCCATGAGTTGCAGTATAATGTCATTCATCCAACTTTCCTCTTCTCTTTATTTTCTATTAGATATTCTTCTCTGATCTTGTTAAAGGTTTCACATATATTCTGGAGTGATTATTCTGGATTATATGTTTGCTCCCTGCTACTTAGCTTTACTTTCTGAAAGAATCCGTGTGGCTGTCTGCTTTGTTTTCTTAGCTTTTAGTCTACTCTTATCGCATTTTTGTTACTGTTCTTTTTTGTAACCTGATTAAATCTTAATCTAAATTTATCAATAACAGGAATATGATTTGACCAAACGTCAGCACCGTGGTAACTTTTAACTGATAGGCAACCCGTGGGAAATCTCTTGTTCACCATTATGTAATCAGCTTGATTTCGTATTATGTTTCCTGGCTGATCTTGCGGACGTTTGTATATTTGGGTCTCTCCTTGCGGAGAGACCTAAATATACAACGTTACAGTGTGTAACGTTATAAACGTTACATGTTTGTTATTTTTCTTTAAATATTTATTTTATTAAATTTTTTTCGATGTTAGGGCCCGCGTAGCGCAAGCGGTAGTGTGCTTGCCTCGCATGCCGGTGGTCGTGAGTTCGAATCCTACCGCCGGCAAGAACAACTAGGCATTTTTAAAATGTCTATAGGCCCCAGGTCGACTCAGCCTGAATAAAATGAGTACCTTGGGTAAAACCAGGGGTAATAATAGGCGGTTGAAGCGTAGCACTGGCCATGTTACCTTCCTTGTATACCGTAGGCCCTAGATATAGCAGACTACCCTGCTATACTCCCAAAGCCGCGTGCGGTATAAAACGGGAGACTATTATTATACTTTCGATGTTAATCATTTGTAGCATTTTGGTTTTACCCCGTATATAATAAAACAGCGAAAAAGATTCCTAATCTTTTTGTGATTTTAAAATTGATATAAACATTTTTAGTTTGGTTATAATAAAACAAATTGCTTTTTTCTTTTGATCTTGGTTCCACCCAGATGTTTACGCAGAAAATAAACAAAAATTTGTCCGTTTATGTTTATAACGATTTTTGGGAGAATGAAGGCACTCCTCGATGGACCGGCCGCGAAAGAAGTACATTTTAGTGTTAAAGTCATAAAGAATGTTGTCACCGGAAATTCGTTAGTGTAGCAGTCAATGAGAACAGCTTGGGTATAAAAGAGGAAACATTGTTCTCGGAGAGTTTTAAAAATCGCCAAATTTTCATTTAATTCCATGAGTGGATTAGATAAGTTTGAAATGCTATGTGGCAATCTTTGTAAAGTGAGACAACCACCAGTTTTTTGCTGTAGTCCGTGCATCGAGCAAAAAGATAAAAGAGGGAATGTAAAGGTAGTGGGGGCAAAAATATTGTTAGACAGGAAGTGCGATTTTTAGAGGCCACATTAAACAAGGAAAGAGAGTCTCTCTCCTTGTTTGACATCAAATTTAGTTGGGTTATTATGTTTGTCCCAAATGTCACATGAAATCTTATTTATATTGAAGTTTTTTAACAATTGTGTCGCATTTTAGACTATTATCGTTAATAATTAATTAAAACTTTCTCGTCTAAGACACATTCTGAAAAATATTATATAGCTACTGTTAATAAGTGTCGGAAAATTTAAATTTGGCGCATTCGCATTTCCGGATACGTCCGCCATCAGAGGCCACTTTTTTGGTCTCCTTTTCATAAGGATTAGATTCCCTCTTTTGTCTTTTTGCTCGATGATTCCGTGTCAAAGGATCTGATAACAGCGTTTCTGAGGGCTAAGTGGGTCTACATGGTTTTGAGTGAAAAATAAGCAGCCGACTTTTGAAGACTTATATACTTGTTGTTGTTGTTTGTTTGTGTTTAAATGACTGCGGACACTAAATCCATTCGCCAATCTTACAATTTGAGGTGTAGTGTGTGTGTGTGTGTGTGTGTGTGTGTGTGTGTGTGTGTGTGTGTGTGTGTGTGTGTGTGTGTGTGTGTAGAGTAATTGTCTTGATACTTAGCAAAGTCGACGTCATTGTCTTTGCTAAGAGACGCTAATTGTATCCGAACGTCTGCGGTCCCTCCGGTGTGTACCGATCACACAAGGATAGAAATTATTTTCATTTATTAATTTTTTTTTAATAAACGAAAATTTCCACCCAGGTGGGATTCGAACTCACGACCTTTAGATTTAAAGGCAGGCGCTCTTACCACTGAGCCACAGAGGGGGTTAACTTATATACTTATCATTCAGGATAACCTAAGGCCCAGTTTTGATGTTTGTCGGCTTCCATTTTGTATCTCTCATGGATCGGATCTAGATCGTTGGAAGTTTGGGTGGACATGTGTTTCTTTTTGTATTCAAATCTCAAACTTTTTTAATAATTTCAAAAGAAATAATTAGCCAGTGAAGCGATTGGTTTTGTTAAATCTTTCTAAATAAACATTTATCTTTAATATACTAAGATTTGTTCTCATTTCAGTTTAAAGGTTTATAAGTAAATATAAGTTTTATGATCAGCTAATTGTCATATTTTAGTTTCTTTTAAATAAAATTAACTTTTGATAAATAATTAATTAATGATTCAGAAAAGGTAAGTAGTTTCATTTCGACATATGACAGTTAGTACACCTTTCTGTCATTTAGTACATAATCATATTTTAAAAGTATGTTTTTGTTAGAGTTTTCTATATTCTCTCTTTAAACTAGGAGTTACAAATTATTTCTTTTAAAAATATATTCACGCTTAAGATATTTTAGGAGAGAAAAAACTTTCTTTCTAACCAACAAGGGGATTATTTTAAACGGCGTCCTAATATTAAATAGTTTAGGGATCTTCTTGTGTAGTATTGCCAAGGACATTGTTTCCCCAGTGTTTATTTTTTGTATTTAGCCCTCCAGCTCTCCCCAAATAAATGATTTAGACGGGGAGTCAGACAGGGTGACTCGTTAAGCCCATTTCTCTTTAATATAATAATGGACGAAATAATACAAGCAGTACGTAAAGGTCATGGCTACATAATGGGGAACAAAGAAATCCAAATATTATGTTATGCAGACGACGCCGCATTAATCGCCGAGACAGAAGACGAGCTCCAAAGATTAACACATATCTTCAATACAACAGCTAAGAAATACAATATGATAATATCAGCAGAAAAAACCAAATGTATGACAACATCTAAATACCCACTACGTGTAAAATCGAAATTGATGGAAAATAATAAAGCAGGAAGCAAGGTTTAGATATCTGGAATAGATATAACTAGTTACGAGATGTTGAAGAAGAAGTACGACAACAAAGCTTAAAAGCAAGTAAAGCGGCGGGATCTCTTAATGACACAATCTGGAAGAACAAACACCTAAGACAAGACACAAAAACAAGAATCTATAAAGCAGCAATTAGACCTATATTAACATACACGGCGGAGACAAGACCTGACACATCTAAAACGAGACGACTACTAGAAACAACAGAGATGAAAATACTCCGACGAATATCAGGGAAAAGTCTGTTGGATAGGGAGAGAAGCGAAAACATAAGAAGAGCATGCAATATAGAAGACATAAATGGATGGTGACAAAACGAAACGAACACATTAGTAGAATGGCAGAGGATAGAATAGTACGAATAGCACGAGATAAGTCACCAAATGGACGAAGAAGTATTGGCAGACCAAGAAAAAGATGGTGCGACAATTTAAACAATTTAGGAGGCTAATATTGAAGAAGAAACAGGCTTTAAAGCCTACATACAAGAAGGAAGAAGAAAAAGAAACTAAGTAAGGTTAAAGACGTACTTTTAAAGGATATTTAAAAAAATTATATGTTGTTTTTAACAAACATTTGAAAAAACCAGCAAAAAAATTTTTGCTATCAGCCTACATACATATATTTTATTTTTAATGTACCTACTTACATCATTAAGCATTACAGCATATATTCCACCAAGTTCCAACTCTAGAGTTTTGTCAAATTGTTTGTCTCCTACCTCTACTGACCAACGACCAGGACTGAATTCTCTTGCAGATATGTTTCCTGAATTTATATTAATTGATTTCTTTTTCAACGTGTACTTAACATCAATATCAGTATAAGGTAGGGTTCTAAAAAAAAACAAACACAATCATTTTTATATAGGAATATTAAGGTATGCTAGCTTTAACAGTAAGTAATATTAGTATGTAGATGTTCTTCGAAGCTCATAAAATTGAATATTTTTTTATTGTTACATTACATGTTTACAATATATTCTATACAAAGAGTAATAAGTAAATAGTCTGTAAGTAAATTAACGTGAGTTAGGTACCGTCCAGTGACGGTTCTCTAAGTATTATTGCGGTAGGTCTTCTGGCCATACCCTCTTCAATCTTCTTTCGGCAAGTGGTTGGGTAATAAATTATTTATCAGTTCGTTGTTGTGATCAGTGGTGCGATTTTTATATTTTATTGAGTGATTCTTTATTATGTCCTTAAGTAATGTGATATTCAGATCATTGTGAAGTGTTTGGTTAGATACATACCATGGAGCTTTACTTATCATACGGAGTATTTTGGATTGGAATGTTTGAAGTATCTTCGTATTTGAAGGTTTACTACAGCCCCATAGTTCTATTCCATATGCCCAAACTGGTATAAGTATAGCTTTGTACAGAAGCAGTTTATTTTCAAGAGATAACTGAGATCTTTTGTTAAATAGCCAGTTCATATTTTTTAGTTTAAGATCTGGTTGTTTCCGTTTAGTTTTAATGTGAGTTGTCCATGTAAGTTTTTCATTCAGGTGCAATTACAAGTATATGTATGTGATGTTTTATTATTAATGTGAAAGAGAAAAGACTGGATAAGAGGTTCAGATCTCCAGAGGTCCAAAACCATAACCTGAGGAGATCATGTGTGGATAAGGGAAATGAAGCATACTGTAAAGGAACATGGTGGGGAGTGATGATGTCAGTTAAAGCAGTTGTGATAAAAGTGGTGTTGGCATTACTGTAATGCTGTATATAATATGATGTAGATACCTTTAGTTATCTGTATTAAAATTTTCATTATTATTTTAATGTTATGGTAAATAATTCTTTTTTGGTCAAAATATTAATTCAAAATTGTAGTAATGATGTTCAAATTTTAATAATGGAAGCAACTTAAATAAAAAAAGTAGTTTTTGAATTGTATATAACTAGTTGAATATTAAATCCATAAAAATATATAGGATAAACTCACCTCACTAAAGGATAACCAGTTTTGCTCTTAGCTACGTCATCTTCGTAAAAGCGGATGGTCCCATTTGATTGGATAAAAATACCATAGGCGTTCTTTTCCTCTAGAGAAATTATTTGTACACCATCTGGGCATTCTTTAGTATTAGACTTAAATGTAAATGTTGCAGATTTACTTCCACTCCATTCAATATCCTGATCCACATATAAAGATGTTGGATCTAAGGTAAATGGCTTTATTTCTGTTTTATCGGTGGTAACAGACATAAAACAGCTTGATGGATTATACACCCTTAATTGTATGTTACCAGCTGATGGTAATACTGGATCATTTTTTTCAATAGCAATCATGACAAAGGCAGAAACGGCAAAAGCGACAGCTGCTAAAAATCCTCCACCAGCCATTCGCTGCAGAGCAGTATTCAGTAAGTTACATTTTCCTAAAATATTATTAGAAAATCATCTTATACAACTAAAACTTTCACGGCTAGTGTTGGTTTATTATATTATATTAATAAAAATAAGAACTTAACTATCAAAATTTAATGAATAAGAATACCTTATTTATAATATCTCTCTTATTGGAAGAAGATATAAGATATCTCTCTATAAGAATACCTTATTTATAATATATATACCTTATCATATAAATTATTTATCTCTTTGGATATTTCAATATTAATCTTTGCGTTTAATTCCCCAGATTTTTAATAATATAATGGGTATAAAGATACCGGCTTTGGCCACGTGCCTCGTCTGTTCAGTTTATATTCGAAACTTAACTTGAAAGGGTGAAGTTATTACGAACGAAAACAATTTTTTTGTTTAGTACGTTTTTGATCGCATGTAATTTACGGCTCGTCGGTGTTTCCGCGTCTACGGCAGTAATTAGCGTCTCGAATATTTCTTTTGCGAATTATATGCAGTGCGTGAGTGATTTTTTATTCCATATACCTACGAACATATACGTACCTTTCGCTCGTGCTCGTTTTGTTGGATTGTTTGTGATGGCTTCATCATCAACATCATCAAGTTTTACACCGGTACTGTTGCGTACAGTCAGTAAGTCTGTCTATTCACCAAGAGAGAAGACTATTGTCCTGAATGTTCACGATGCTCTGGTTTCTCAGAATCCCACAAACACTGTTCGCAACATAGTCGAAAGTTGTGCCAACATGACTGGCGTAGGGAGTCAACTATATATAGGTTCCTATCAGAAAGAAAAAAACACGGTATAGCTAACCCAAACACAAACGAACACTTAAAGAGAGGGAAAAAGCCTATTGAAATTGATGAATTTGCCAAAAATGGTATTCGAAGGAAAATTCATGGATTTTTTTTTCAAAAGAAATACCAAACCTAAACAAAATTTTACAAGAAGTTAGAGACGACCCGGATTTGCCTCATATCGGACGAACTAAATTGTGGCAAGTTTTAAAAGAATTAAATTTCCGGTGGGAGAAATCAGACCGAAAATCACTTTTGATTGACCGGGAGGATAATATGTTGGAGAAGAAATTATCTAAGATCCATACGAAAATTCCGGGCTGAAGGAAGGCCAATCTTCTACCAGGATGAAACGTGGGTAAACTCAGGTCATACTCTAAAAAAATTTGGTCAGATAAAAATATATTAAGCTCCAGGCAAGCCTTTATGGAAGGTTGGTCTACTGGTATCTCCCCACCTTCTGGTAAAGGCAGTAGATTAATAATTTCTCACATTGGCAGTGAAAAAGGATTTGTTAAGCATGGTTTGTTGGAATTTCAGTCCAAAAGCACAAAAGACTATCACGAGGAGATGACAGCTGATGTTTTCGAAGAGTATTTTGAGCAGATGATTGAACACATACCACCAAATTCAATTATAGTATTAGATAATGCACCTTATCATTCACGACTAGTAGAAAGACTTCCAACGACTGCGTGGAAGAAACAGGATATTCTTGACTGGCTGCGGAATAAGTATCTGCCTTACGAAGATGGAATGGTAAAAGCAGAACTTTTAAAAATTGCCCGGCAACACAAATCTAAGTTCAAGAAATACGTAGTTGACAAAATGGCGGAAAGGCGAAACATCACAGTCCTTAGACTTCCACCCTACCACTGCGAAATAAATCCAATTGAACTCATTTGGGCACAAATGAAAAGTTATGTGGCTAGAAAAAATACGTCATATAAAATACAAGCTGTACGTGAATTGTTATACGAGTCTTTACAACATATTACAGAACAAAACTGGAAAGATGCAGTAAGACATGTAATAGAAGAAGAACAAAAAATGTGGGATCTTGATAACATAATTGATGCGACCGTAGAGACACAACCGCTAATTATTAACCCTCAAGACGACTCGGATTCCGAAGTTGATCCTATTTATTTTGAATTTGAATAGTTTTCTAATCGTAATTATATAAGGTAAGTAATAGTAGTTGTAATCGTAAGGTATTAAAGGGGAAAGGCGCAAAATGTCGCCTGTCAAAATGTTCAATGTGTTTAAATGTATCCATTTTTTTTCAAATCCTGAGAAAACTAAAAAGCATTTTTGAAAAATTTAAAGGCAGAATGAAATATTTATTAGAATAAATAAAAAGTTTCTTTTGCATGCAATATTTTCAATTAAAAATTATACTATATTTTCTCTTTTATTTTCACCCCTGTTACATAACATATTAAAATAAACATTGTAGAAGTTTTCAGGGACTTTCTGCCCTCAGTAATAATGTAATCTTTCATTCTGCGTTTAAATTTTTCAAAAATATTTATTAGTTTTCTCCGGATTCGAAAATAATGGATACATTTAAAACACATTGAAAATTTTGCCAGGCGACATTTGGCGCCTTTCCCCTTAATTAAATAAATGTATCTTTTACAAATGGCAAGAAACTTTTTATTTTTGAATAAAATAAAGAAGTTTTATTAAAACAAAAATACAGCGGTAAATGCATAAGAATGGCATACGATTTTGTAAATAGGAACTAAGATCAGAAATGTTTCTTTAATAGTATGTTTTCTTTAATAGTTTTTATATGTTTCTTTATGCGACTAATTTAATACAACTTCAACTGATATAAGTACAATTTAAAAAATATATTTATTTAGTTCAAATAAATGTTTCAATCATATACTCTACGACACTGGTCGGTCATCTGTAACCAAAATACCTTTGTAATCGGATTATAAGGTTGATTGCTGTATTGTATTCCTTCAGATACAAGGTGGATTAGTCGAAACATCTTAAACGTCAGTTTCAGGTTGGTTTTTACTATTATCGTATTACCTATCCTCTCTGTATTTCAGTTCTCTAATTAGGATTAAACTTGTAGTGAGCTATCGACAAATTGTAAACAGATTCTAGTTGACATATAATACCAAAATATATTCTACAGCAAACTCTAAAGAAAAAAGTAAAACTAATGATTTCCAATGTTGATCAACATAAAGCAAATATAAAATACTAAAATACAATAAATAAATAAACATAATAATAATATCGTATGGCATTTTTGTAGATGAGGTCTGTTGAGGTGGGATTGTTCCGGCGCTAATTGCATCTTTAGCCCTGTTTTGGTAAACTAGTCCCGCTATAGCTAAGGGAGACTGATGGCTTTATGTGTCCTCTGAAACATGATGAGAGCTCGTATAATTTTTAATAATTGAAAATTTCGTTGTAGCTACCAGTTGTAACTATTTTCCTTCTTTTATGTGTCCAATAGTTATTTTTGTTTAATTTTTAACTACTATTTTTTAATTTACAGTACTGTTTAATTTCATCATTTAAAATTAATTTTTATATTACTGAAACCAAATTAAAAATTTCAACCAATGTTTGCAAAAGTGAGAGTATGGTCCAAATATTGTTTTCTTTAAATAATCCTATGTTTTGTAAGTATTCTTAGAGTTGTCGGTATGTTATTGGTAAACGATTCTTTATTTTCGTTATAAATTAACCCTATTATACTTATTCAAGACCTACATCGTATATATTTTAGACCATATCCCAAGTATTAGTATAAGTTATACAAATATAGCAGGAGTGGGAATTATAATACACAGAAAATTTTTGCACATGTTATCTCACCAAGTCGCCTATATCATAATATTTTTTTTATTGTTACTTATGTAATAACATTGTTTGTGTCGTTATTTAAAAAAATGTAAAAACCGCCACCTTTTAAATATAAATGTTTATTTTATTGTTACATTGCATGTTTACAATCTATTCTATACACAAAGTAATAAGTAAATAGTCTGTACAAAAAGTAAATTAACGTGAGTTTATGTGCCGTCAGGCAAATTCCATAAAAGATCAGGAAATTGGAATACTGTGGGGCACATCATGAGAAGGTGAAAAGTACGGAACTACTAAGGAATATAATGCAGGTAAAATCAAAGGTAGAAGAAGCGTAGGAAGACGTAAAATCTCGTGGCTACGCAATCTCCGTGAGTGGTTTGGATGCAGTTCAATTGAACTAATCCATACACTTTCTAATAGACCCTAATTTTGTTAAAATCGGTTGATCCAATACCAAATTTATAGGATTTATCCAACGCAAATACTTTCCCACTCTCCCCAACGCCTTTAATAAGAAAAAATAAAAAGAAAGTAAGCTCAACAACTTTGTGCAGAATTATGCCTCTTTCCAATTTATACTTATAAACAATTGTATAATAGTGACATATATCCACAAAACTTGGTTTTCAAAATTTATCATCGCAGGTTACCCCCCTAAGCGTTAATCCATAAATCTTGAAAATTAATTCCGAGCTGATTCACTTAATAAACGTGAGTTATGCCGTCCATGACGGTTCTCAAGTAATACCCTCTTCAATCTTCTTTCGGCAATTGGTTGGGTGTTAAGATTATTGTAAACTGTTTGATTAGATACATACCAAGGAGCTTTACTTATCATATGGAGTATTTTGGATTGAAATGTTTAAAGTATCTTCGTATTTTAAGGTTTTCTATAGCCCCATGGTTCTATTCCATATGCCTAAATTGGTATAAGTATAAGCTTTGTATAGAAGCAGTTTATTTTCAAGAGATAACTGAGATCTTTTGTTAAATAGCCAGTTCATATTTTTTTGGTGTAAGATCTAGTTGTTGCCGTTTAGTTTTAATGTGCGTTGTCCTTGTAAGTTTCTCATCCAGGTGCAGTCCCAAGTATTTGACAACTGGTTTTATAAGAATGAAAATATTATTTATATTAACTTGTGGACCTGTAGATTTTCTTGTTGTAAAAGTAATTTGTACTGATTTGCTAGCATTAACACTGATCTTCCATCGCTTAAGCCAGTTTTGTAATTGATCTAAATGATTTTTTACTTTTTGTGATGCTTCATTAGGGTCGATATCCACTGCCAAGATTCCCGTGTCATCGGCAAAATGTAGCTAAGATGGTATCATTGCTGGTTGGAACGTCTGCTGTAAATATCAGATACAGAAATGGGCCCAAAACGGTACCCTGACGTACGCCAGATTGTATGATGTGGTAATTTGAGTAGCTGTCTTCAATTTTGACTTGGAAGTAACGGTCAGTAAGATATGATTTTAGTATAAAGTATAGTTGTTCTGTTAGGTGTAATTTCAGTTTGTAGAGAAGATCTTTATGTCATACTCTATCAAATGCCTGTTGTATATCTAGAAACACTCCAGCGCAAAACTTTTTCTCTTCGAGAGTTATTTTAATTATATTTACTATTCTGTGCATTGTTGGATGGTTGAGTGTTCACGATTAAATCGAATTGGTGTTGTGATATAATTTCGTTTAATGGAACAACTTTCGACATGATTTGTAGTCTGCTTAAAGGGCGATATGAACTTGCTTGTGTTGCGAGCTTACCAGGTTTCGGAATCATAGTAACTTGAGCAAATTTCCATTGTATTGGAAAGTATCGAAGACGTAGTAAGCTGTTGTATATTATTGTTAATACTACCACTGCTTTTCTCGGTAGCTTCTGAAGTAATTCTCCTGTGATCAAATCATAACCAGGAGCTTTCTTAGGATTTAGCATTTTTATTTGTTGTTGAACCTCTATCGGAGTAAATGTTGTCAGAGGAAGAGATAGTTGACATGGAGTTTCGAGTTTCTTATATCATCATCTTAATCGTTATTAGTATCTGGTGCTGCGAATACAGTTGCAAGATGCTCTGCAAATACTATTGTTTTCTCTGCGTTTGTGCGGGTCCAGGTGGTATCGGTTTTTTTTAAAGGTGAATTTTTTATTGTCGGTCGTTTAAATTTTTTTGTCTTTTCGTTAATATTGGAGGGAATGGGGTGTGTTCTCTTCTGTTAACTATTGTGGTACGACTCCTATCTATTTAATCGATCACGTCTGTTCTCATTGGACAGTTGATGCACACGTTTCCCATTGGTGGTGTGCGTTCTTATGTCACTATTGACCAGCAAGACTATCGAGGATCGATTGCCGCATTACATACGTTCCGAGTCATGAAGATGTCCACCATTGGTCGAGGATGTGTTTCTAACGTTACGAGGTGACGTTACTATGCTACCATTGATCGAGGATACGTTCTAACGTCACGAGGGGCGTTACTATGTCACCATTGGTCGAGTATACGTTCTAACGCCATTTCTATGATGCCGTTGGCTTATTCTATGCTACCATTGTCGCTGGGTGTTGCTATTCCCTCCACTGACGCTGCTATGCTGCCATTGGTCGACCTCATCGCTATACTGTTTCGTATATAAGGTTAGTTCATAATTCTAAGCTGATTCATTGAACGGGCACGTTCCTATGCTCATCCATTGGTCGAGGGCGTGGCCTCGAGACACGAGGTACGTTCCTACGTCACGAGGGGGCGTGGCTTTGATACATGAGGATACGTACGCTTGACGATCGACGTGTGACGTCACTTCCGTCCAGAACATACTCTTTACATCTACTAACACGGTTAAAATCATGCTATTTTGATTTAAGAGATGAGAGATTGTTGTTTACATTGCTAACAAGGAACGGTAATTAGCAATGAAGTCTTCCGATACATTAAAATTTTTACCTACATCCAATTGTCTCCACCTCAGCCTGAACCATACTAACGATCATATTATTCTCTAACGCAGCTTTGCTTTTTAACATCGTTTTATATTAAATATTTAAGATTTTTATTAACAATTTAAGAAGATTTCTACATAAAAAGAAGTGTTTTACAAACAGACATACAAAACATAGGTATCTTTTAAACTAGGAATTGATGGCAATTTTTATAATTTTTTTTATAAATGTTTATACACTAGGATGTCTTGACTAAGCTTTTTTATCTGTATTTAGTCTGATAATAACCAAGAATTTTTATGATCCACGTTAAGCACTACTAATATTTTGATAAGCTTCATAAAATAAAACCCAGTATTTTGGTTATTTTACGTCTTAGATATGTACGCCTTTTAAGTAAGCATTTACTGTTTACTATTTATCGAAATATAAAATATTTTTTTAATTATGACATAGTATAATAATTACCTAGAAGTGGATAAACGTAGTAGGTAAACAATGGAATAAAAGCCAAAATGAACAATGGGTTGACGAGTTGCATGTGATCTGGCAAAATTGTATAAAATCCAATGTTTCCATCCATTCTCACGGCCATCAAGGTCCATCCTGATCCTTGCTGATCATAGAGAGCCCAGAAAATCGGCAGCGGAAGAAAGAGAACTAAAACATGGAGTGTTACCTTAGTATCGTTTACTAGTTTTTGTCCGTATTCTTCTTCTGCATAATAAAGCCAATGTTGCTTTTTCTCGTTGGACTTCAACTTATTCTTTATTGCACACTAAAATCACAAATTATTTTTATTTATACAAAATGATCTGTCGGACGATTGGTAAGTGAGATTCACTGATCTAAATGTAAGGTACGAAATAATTATCAGAGACGTCACTTCTAGACAAATTTCTAGAGAAATTTAATTTTAATTTTTTTAAGAGTAGCTTAAAATGTTTTTGAGATGAATTAGATAGTTTGTAACATAGAGAAGATTATACAATAAATATAAACCGTCGGTTGTATAATACATGTATAATAACATGTATAAGTGTGCATGTACGGAGATTTTACACACCGATATCTGCAATTGTGGTTGAAAATTATACTGGCACAAATGTTTACACATAAGTAAGACAAGAAATTGAGGAGGGTGACGCATAAATATAACTTGATCTAATAATTGTACGAGTTACAAATAAAATAAATTAAGTGGCGTTTTATAAAGGCAACTAAAAATATTGTCCACATCGTCAATTGAATTTGGTTGAAAAACTGAAATTAAAAACAAATGAAAATAGGTAGATAACAGCGTTATTTTAACTACACTTGAGTGCAAAAAATTCGACTCAAAATTATTTTGCGAAAGTACGTCTCCTGTTTCAATCTAAAAGTTGTAAATTTAAAAATATTTAGTGTACAATTATTAACCTTACTATTGAGTTAGAAAAAAGTTTTGGTTTTTAGTAAATCGGGTGACGTATTACAAATAAATAATGCAACACGTAGAGAGCGGGTCAGAATTTGACTCATTGAAATCGATACGCACCGACTTAACGCGTTCGGTTAACATTGTAAGCATCAATTTTCACAGCAACCCACTAATACATCAGTCAATTAAGTTTGCAACTTCATAACAAATGGATACCACATCCGTCAAAGCAGCTCAAGCAGTAGCATTATTGAGAGAAACCTGAGCCAGAGGGCCGTGGCAAATCGACTAAAGTTAAGCCAATCTGCTGTATCCCGAGTGTATCGTCGATACCAAGATAGTGGTGATTATGTCCGCCGACAAGGAGGAGGGCGTAAACGAATAACAACGGAGAGAGATAGTCGATTTCTTGTGTTTAAATCTCTATGAAATCGACATTTGACTGGTGCTAATCTCAAAGAAGAGCTTAGAGAGGTCCGAGGTGTGGACACCAAAAAGAGCAGCTACGAATCCCAAGCTAACTTCAGCCCAGAAGCAAAGGAATCAGGTATTATTCTCCGACGAAAGTAGGACCTGCCTACATGGCAACGACATAAGGCGTCGAGTCTATAGAAGGCCAGGAGAACGATTTGCTCAAAGTTGTATACGAGAAATTGTGTCATTTGGAGGCTATGGAGGTTTAACGGCAGATCGTTACATCACAGATATTTTGGAGGAACGTGTTTCCGTATGCGAGGAACGAGGACGAATGCGGTTCCGTATGCGCGATTTATTGATGACGCCTTTATTTTACTGCATAATAGCACTAGTCACCACTACCTATCTGACTGAGATCGGTATACCTACAATAAACTGGCCTACGTTGAGCTCGGACATAAATCCAATAGAGAATGTTTGGAATGAGCTTAAACGAAGGGTCCGGAACGGAAATCATGCATCAAGGAGCATATTGGAATTGGGAGCTGCGCTTAATGATGAATGGGAAGCAATGCCTCAAGAATTATTTATTAGACAAGTCATCCGATCCATGCGAAATCGTATGGAAAGTGTAATTAGGAATAGGGGTGGTAATATCAAATACTAAAAAAAAATTAATTTCGTAATTGATGATTTCTCTGTTCACTCTCCGTTCAGAAAGACGTATTCTTGGGATAGTTCCAATGATGAGTATTTGAGAAACTTTGTTCGTATTACATTGTTTTTAAAATGCGTCTTACAGATAATCAAATAGCAGATTTTGTAAGTTCAATAATAAAGTTACTAATCATGAATGTGTTGCTTGTGTGAGTCCATTTCAAATAGGTAAAGAAATAATAAATAAGACTTACAATCAATTTAATTTAACTATCAGACGACCAGTTTCGCTTTCTACAATATGCAAAGCATCCTCAGGTCTCGATACAAAGTTAAACAAATGATGCCGGTACTCTATTAATAGATGGATGGTAGAACATAATTGAAACTACTTTATATTGTTGAATAATAAGACCAATTTCCATTATTTGTAATCTATCGAAAGTCTTTGAAATAGTTTTGTATAATCGTATTTATTCACACACTCATAATCAGCTATCTCAATATCAACATGGTTTTGTCTCCAATCGGTCCACTGTGACAAACTTATTAATGGTCACACAATATATCTCAGCAGCCCTAGATAATAGAAGTCAAGTTGACGTCATATATACTGACTTTACGAAGGCATTCGACAGAATTCACCACGGCGTATTACTTTCTAAATTGTGTCTCTTTGGTCTTTCTGAGGATGCCGTGACTTTTATGAGGTCTTACTTGTCAAATAGAACGCAGTTTGTTGCTTATAATGGTTACAAATCGGAAAAGTACCTAGCTTCTTCAGGGGTTCCACAAGGTTCTAATCTAGGTCCATTATTGTTCTTGTTATTTATTAATGATCTGTGTGAATCAATTTCTGCACCATGTTTATGTTATGCCGATGATTTAAAGATTTATTCATTGATAAGCGACCTTAATGATTGTCATTTTCTACAGAGTGAACTGAATCGTGTACATGAATGGTGTAATGCAAATCATTTGAATCTTAATGCCAATAAGTGCAAAGTAGTTAGTTATTCTAGGAAACAGTCTAATATATACCATCCTTATATTATCGATGGCAATGAACTTGAACGTTTGAATAAAATTAAAGACCTTGGAGTTACATTTGATTATAAACTCACCTTTGTTGAACATGTTAATTTAAAGGTTAAAGAAGCACTTAAATCTTATGGATTCATAATTAGAAATAGTCGAAATCTCACTAATACTAAGGCAATTAAATTACTTTATTACACTTTTGTACGCTGTAAACTGGAATATGCTTCTGTCATTTGGTCACCTTTTTATGATGTACACATCCAAATTATAGAGCATGTGCAGCGTAAATTTTTAAAATTTTTGTCTTTCAAAATTAACGGCATATATCCCAGGAGGGGCATCAGCAATAGCGAGTTGTGTAGCGGTTTGGACGTAGTATCATTAGAATCTAGACGAATTAATGCCTCCCTAATATTCCTGTACAAGCTACTACATAATCTCATTGACTGCCCTGATATTCTTCGACAAATAAATTTTAACGTTCCATCTTATCCAGTGAGAAATTCGATTACGTTCAGAAATACACAAGCTAGAACTAATCTTATGTTAAATTCTCCTCTATTTCTCATGTGCAACTATTATAACTCCTTAAGTGCTTACTGCGATATATTTCACTGCAGTTTAAAGCAGCTTACTAGGATGGCTGAGATCTACCTAGGTGATTAAGTAGTTTCTTTATGTTAAATACTCGAAAAATGTGTTATTTAGTTAGTACCTATGAATTATTAATATTTCATTTAACTTTAGTATTGTATTTTGTCCTATAAATGGATTCTGTTGGACAATAAACGCTATTATTATTATTATTATTATTATAAAGAACTCAATTCTATTATTGCAGTTGTTTGACAGTAAACGGGAAGTTCTTGAGGAGATAGATTTGACCAATGAAGAAGAGATATGTGTAAGATTGTTTGTTAAATGTAAGTGATGTAATATACCATTGTGTTATTAAAAGCTATTTATACTTATTCAAGAGATATATTTTTTGAAATGTGTGTTATTTATTGAGTAATTGTTTTATGAAGGTGACAGTTTTATGACAATGAATAAGTTTAAATGTAAAAATTGCGTGGGTGTGCAATTATTTTCCAACTTGTAGTTATCAAATTACTTTGATAAACTTCTATTGGCAATGAGTTAATTATTGGAATAGTCAAGTAAATAAAATGTTAAAATACAAACAATTAAGGATAATTTAAACACACTAAAACAGAAAACACTTAGAAGGGACGAAACAAACATTGAATTTAAAAGGGGGAAGGACTTTAATGCACGACATCCTAGTCTTGGGCACAATGACTGGTCTGATCTCAATCAAAAGTGAAGATATCCCAATTAACTGGGGTCTCTTTCAGGGGAGTTCCTTAAGTATACTTTGGTTCTGCCTAACGATGAACCCACTATCCTAGCTGCTGAACTCCACTGACTCAGGATTTAGCATCAAAAATAAGAATACTATTGTGGCGAAGTTTAATCATCTGTTGTGTATGGATTATTTAAAACTAATGGCTTTCAGTCGAAACCACCTAGATCACATGACAAAAACTATAGAAACTTTCTCAAATGATATCAGTATGCATTTTGAAGTAGAAAAGTGTCTATACTAAATATAGTCAGAGGAAAAGTTTAACCCGAAGGCTTCGATATTCAATATGGTCAAAACATCGAGGTAATAAGTGAAAATAAAATGTACAAATATCTCGGATTAAAGCAAAAGCGGAAAATTAATCATAAACAAATGAAAACTCAACTAACTTCCGAGTTCGCACGAAGAGTAAGATAACTATATCGGTCATATCTTAATAGTAAAAATTTGTTTAAGGCATTAAATACGTACACATGTTCTTCGCTAAGATACTCATTTGGTATTATAAAGTAGACAAAAACGGATACAAAGTCTTTAGCGGAAAGTAAGAACACTTCTCACAAAGGCGCAAAAACACCATCCACGCAGTGCAGTAGAGAGAACATTACTGCGATATCAAGGGGGAAGAGGACTTATGGACATAGGTGAGCAACTGAAAAACAGGTTGCTACTTTAAGAACTTATCTTCAGGTGTATGCTAAGACATCTATCTCACATCGAGCAATTTGCGCAATAGATGATACAACGAGACTTAAACTGAGGGAACAAGAAATGCGCATAAATTAGCTGACTAAGCAAAAAAAATGCACACCTGGAAGAGTAAACCTCTGTATGGGCGACATCTCAATGAGATCAGCCAAGAATATGTCGACAATACAGCGGCGAACTATTGGTTGATATCAGGAAAGATGTTTCCCGAGACTGAGGGGTTTCTACTTGCCATTCAGGATCAGGTTATTCCAACTAAAAATTACCCGAAATATATTGTTAAAGTACAGAGAGAACAATCGCAAAGTATAGAGATCTAGAATATATAAATTGGGAGACAATGGAAAATGGAAAGCAACCAGACAGTACCTATTATTCTATCTTCTATTGGTGTTATTTCCAAAAACCTCCTAGAGAACATAAAACAACTGGGTTTAAATGAACATCTCTACAAGGCCATGCAGAAAGCTGTACTCCTCGCGACGTCCAGATGTTTACGAAAATTTTTGGGAGATACTACAGCATAATAAGTCCCACCGCTCGATAACACAGAAAGAGTCTCACCAGAGTCCCGGGAGGCTTAATGAAGTCACCACGCCGGAAATGATCAACATAGTCCATGACATGATTATGAAAGATTGTCGAATTAAGCTCTGCGAGTTAATAAGGTCCTAAACATTTCCTACGAACGAGTACACAACATCATTCACCATCATTTGGACATGAAAAAGCTATCCACGCGATGGGTGCTGCGTTTGCTGACAATCGATCAAATGCAAAAACGTGTGACCACTTCGGAGCCGTTTTGGCGATGATACGGCGCGATCCGAAGGATTTTTTTCGCCGATTTATCACCATTGATGAAACCTGGGTGCATTATTACACACGAGAAACCAAAGAACAGTCGAAACAGTGGCGCAAACGCGGCGAAGGGCCGCCGAAGAAGGCAAAGAGTGCACATTCGGCCGGCAAAGTGATGGCGACTGTTTTCTGGGATGCAAAGGGCATCATCACATCGACTACTTGGAAAAAGGAAAAACAATCACTGGTGAGTACTACGCAGCATTATTGGATCGATTCGATGCCGAATTGCGTCGAAAACGCCCCGGTTTGGAACGCAAAAAAGTGCTCTTTCACCAAGACAATGCACCGGCTCACCGATCGGCCGTCGCCATGGCAAAATTACACGAATTGGGCTATGAATTGGTTGAACACCCACCGTATTCCCTAGATCTTGCCGCCAGCGATTTTTTCCTGTTTTCCAAACCTAAAAAAATGGCTCGGAGGACGCTGTTTCGCAACAAATGATGAAGTCGTCGCTGAAACTTCGGCCTATTTTGAAGAGCTCGAGCAAAAGTACTATTCGGATGGGATAAAAAAATTGGAACATCGTCTTACTAAGTGTATCGAGCTAAAAGGGGACTATGTTGAGAAATAAATCGATTTAATTCCAAAAAACTTGTTTTTTCTATCAAAGGCTAGTTTTATATCAATCCACCCTGGTATATTCAAATGCGACATATTATCTGATATTTTATTGTTTGTAATTAAATTTGACATATAACTTAACATCTAATATGTAACGTGACTTTCTAATTTGCAACGTGACACTACGTACAGACCACTATTAAAGGTAATCTGGGACGACAAGTTAGTGGAGGTGCTTAGATGGTTGAACCAAATAACACAACTGACTAGATTTTCAGCATGATGTTTTCTACCAGTACCACGTTATCTAAATCTTTTCCTGAATGATCATATGCAGAATTTCATATTTTTCAAGGTTTCATATGTCACGAAGTATTCACTTGAGTTCTCTATTATATTATTATAGAGAAACTCAAGGTGGAATACTTCGGTGACATTATGAAACACCTTGAAAAATATGAATTCTGCATATGATCATTCAGGAAAAGATTTAGGATAAACGTGGTACTGGTAGAAAAACATCATAGCTGAAAAATCTAAGACAATGGTATGGAACGTTAACTAGATCATTATTTAGAGCTGCTGACAATAAAGTCACGATAGCGAATATTGTAACCAACATGGAACTAAAAGAAAAAGATGCCTTGTTCAATAAAAAAATAGTCAATAGTTGATATTAAGCTTTTTGTTTTTTTTTGGTTATGTTTGTATGTGTTTATGTTCTTGTGGTAAAAAAACCATTTAGAATTCTTAATAAATGTTGTTCCAACAACTCTATATATCTTGTATCATTATTGCTTACTACATCCCCTCTGTATTGTTCAGATTATTTAACTGTCACGAGGTTTGTCCAAGTTTCCTATTAATTATTGGACATGTTGAACGGTCCAGGAATTGTTTCATCTAGCTGTCGACCGAAAAATATTTCATCAGCTTGTTACTCACGACGATAAGCAACGCTCGAAAATAAGCACGGCACACAAAGAAGAAAAAGAACACTAATAATGAATATCTAAAAATATTACACTTACCACAATACATTTTGTAACTTGTACTATGATGTTGCCCTCTGGTTTTTTGATTCTATATGTTGGTCGTCCTGCGGCGAAGAAGACTAAAACAAAAAAAATACGATACATTATAAAGATATAATATTACAAAATATAAAAACTTTCTAATGATATCATGTACATCTTTGTTGTGTGGTAACTTTTTGTGATAAAAATGTCGTGTTATTTGGACACTACACTTTGATTATTACTTTGGTTATTATAGACACCTCTGTAAGTCAAACTTATTGTTTCTCCATTTCAATTATTGCCGCATATAGACGTCATTAACACATTATATAAATCGGTGATTTTTATACATACTTGCAAATATTCATAATAGTTAAAAAATATTTGAAAAGAGTAACATTTAGTAATATTTGATTCTTTTTGGCTATTAGTCTGTCAAATTTAAAGCGAATTGCTAATATTCATGTTTACAAAAAAGAATCTTTAACAAGAACATCGATTTAGAACTAGAATGAAAGTATATGTACCTGCAAGAAGAATTAAAACCTAGGACTAGGAATGCTTCTCAAAAGAACTGGAGTATGATTTTCATGGTTTACAAAAAGAAATGAATTAATATATAGTCGGACAATTTTTAATTAAAGGTGACTAATCTACAATTGAATAACGGTAGGGCAACATCTAAATTTCAGCAGTAATTCTTACCGGGTCATTTTTATTGTGTATTCTTCGCCCATGTAAATAAGTGAAAAAGTAAGATAAATTTGCCCCCGTAACAATATAAATTGGTGCGATTCACGAGTGTATAGTGAGACAAGTTCATTGAATAGTTTGAAACATCGGTAAACTTATCAATATTTTGCTGGTCTATATATATTTACGTTCTTAGAAAGAATGGTAATGAGAGAAATATGATATTTTAGTTTATTCCTTCAACATTATATATGTGCATAGGCGTAGTGTGTTCTATTTCTTGGGAATATATTTATTAAATAGACTTTATTATTAACTTTAAAATAGTTTTGAGGTAAGTAAAGTAAATTTGAGGCAAGTTTATTCTTTATATAGTATTAACCCATTAACGGCCGCTCAATATACAAAGAGAAATTTGACAATTAATTTATTAGATTGGATTAAAAACACATAAATTAAGACTAATTTACAACCAAAAAGATTTTTTTCCCATTTTAAGGAAAACAGTACAATTTTTAATAAAGGAACATATTGTATCTTAAATGTAAATTAAATTTTAAGGTGAAAATTTTCGAAACATTCGGGTGTAGATGCATTCTACACTTTTACATAAATAAATAGTATTACTTTTGCACATCCTACATTTTTGCACTATCGTCTTTTTGTAATGTGGCCAATATTGTCGAATCTGGTTTCATCTGGTAAAGCAAATTTAGATTGACGTCCATGTACTAAGTTTGACACTGATGTAGCGGTTTCTTCACTATTACCTATAATTATAAATATAAATCTATGTCGGCTCATGCTTTCTCTTATAATGTGCACTTCTTTATTCTCATCCTTTGACCAATGCATATTAACTTGAAGCAGAGTGTAAATCAGATAATATACACATGCCAATATTTTTTTTAATCTATGTTATGATAATAATGTGTAAATTTCCAAAGTTTTCTGTTTTTTGAAGTTCTGTATTAGGTACTCTCTAATAAGAATAAAATTTTACTTTATTTGGTTAGACAACTATAAGATACCTGTTAAAACACATGATAATTTTATAATTATATCGGTCTTAGATTTAATTTTTACGTAATTACTTATGTGTTTAAATAATTAATTAAAATTTTTTTTAGGACGCCTCTGCAAAATTGATAAGTGGAATATGATTTCGTTGAAAAGTTATCGTTAAGGGCTTCGTTAAGTGCGATGTTGCCAAGTAATCACCTTCAATTAAAAATTGTTTTAGTATAGTATATAGTTTGCTTATAACCAAGTTATAAGCAAATATAAAGACATAAATATATAAACCTTCTTTGATTGATTATCTGGAAACTTATATTAGAGACGTAAGTTAGGGTTAAAATTTATGCACAATCCTTGGTGTATCATTATCTTGACATAACCTGAATATAATGGCAATGGATGGTCACATTTCTGTTGTTTGTTTCACAAATAAGAAGACTTACCTACAGCAATTATCATCAGAATTCCAGGAACTGCGAAAGCCAGAGGAAAACAGCTATCATTACCGAAGCAGTGTACATCATTTCTTAAAATGGGGGTAATAAACATTGATAGCAAACTTCCAGCATTGATAGAAAAGTAAAATAAAGAGAAGAACCTCTCCAGTTCCTTCGCCTGTTGAGGTAGGCGAAACTGGTCTCCTCCAATCGCTGTGATGCATGGTTTAATAACACCGGTGCCTATGCCTATGATCATTAGGCCCAATAGTGAAAAGCCCTACAATTTGATTATATTTTTAAAGTGACATTAAAAAGCATAGGGAATTTATATATAAGCAGTACGTTAAGTTTTAAATTAGATATACACACTATAAATGGCAACACTGCACGTCTGTCAACTTTACACGAACCTCCGCTCCGTTGACCCGCCGCCAATAATTTGTCATTATACAATGGTTGTTTAAAGCAATAACAGCGTAGATTTTTAATTTATTTTTAAAAACAACATGTCTGTTTATACTCCCGCAGAAAAGGTTCAAATAATAAAATGGTTTTTATGGTGGTAAGTCTAGACAACAGTGTGTAGATTTATTTTCTTTTTTTCGGGGAGACCAATTCTTTGCGTACAGGCAACTCATAATATTGCTAAAAATTTTAAGATTTCCTATTGCCTTAAAAATTTTAGAAAATGTCACGCACAAGAAGTTTCACCAGAAAAAGTCGAGGAAAGAATATACCGGGATACACAAATTTGTACAACAATCAAGGTAGATTCAACACGTTCAAATAGAAGCGTTGCTAGAGAGTTAGATGTTACTGTAACGAAAGTATGGAAAAAGCTCGGTAACAAGAATTTTAAATATTCGAAAACGCAGCAGTTTTATTAAGGTGACTACTTTGGAAGAATGGAGTTTTGTGAAACTCTAATAACCAAGGCTAATGATGAACCAAATTTTATTAAAACCATAATTCACTGATGCATCTTCTGTTTCTTTAGTAGGGAGACGCAATCCTTTCATTACGAGGTATTGGGCGTGGGAAAACCAGCACTGAAGTGTTGTTTACCGAACTCAACGTCCTCAAAAAGTTAACGTCTGGACTGACATTTTAGGAGACCACATAATAACCATTTTTTATTGAGGGCAACTTAAATAGTAGAGTATACTTCGATTTTTTACATAGTCATGTTCTTCCCGCTATTCTCAATCCTCCTGATGTAAATCTAGAGAATGTTAGATTTCATCAAGACAACTATTCATTTTACAACGCTCCAATAATTAGGGAGTACTTAAACAATACTTTCCTTAATCGAGTTATCAGTGGAACAGGCGCTATTAAGTGGTCTGCGCGATGTCCAGATCTTACAGTCATGGATTTATTTTTTTGGGACATTTAACATTATCTACGATCATCTTAAGGCTAGAGCCCAAAATTGAAAGGCAACCCCGCATTGAAAAGTAAAATAAGTGTTTTGTGACGTTATGTTACTGGAAATGCTAGTGCGGGCGAAAAATTCATCAAAAAAGAAGATTGTATTTCAAGCTTGTCGTCAAGTAGTTTTGATATGTTTTGGTTAAGTTTGAAAAGTTCGTTACAAGAATACAAAATGGTAAGCGGAACAGCAAAGAAGAAGATATGTGCTAAGCGGTTAAATTATTTAGTAAACTTTATCCAAATAAATAACACCACAGACTAAAAAATGAAGCAGGTACAAAAATTAATCAACCGCTAATTTATATCAACAAGTTAACAAATAAATGTCAAAACAACCAATGCGCAAGCGTCAAGACCAATTTCGATGTTGAAATTTGATCTAGACAGAGCTTGTCTAGTCGAAATCAATTTCTACACAACATTCCGATAGTAGAGGTCGAGATGAGTTACAGAATACCGATTCCTACAAATTCCGATCCGACTTGCTGACCTCTATTCGATTTGACTCATTTCTATTCGATTTGTAGTTACAGAATAGGGCTGATTGTCTGAGGATTGTGGCAGTCTAATATATTAGATTTATATACATTTATTATATTTATATACATTACATCAATAACATCGTCATCAATGAGTTTTAATAATTCGATGGGCACATCATTTGATCCAGTAGCTTTACCCTCTTTTGTGTTTTGATGGCATAGATGATTTCTTTCCTTAATATTGGTGGTCCGGTATTCTCGGTGATTTCTAATGACAGTTCCTCACTTTCATCATTAAATAGTTGTTGAGTGTAATTGGTCCAGTGACGTATTCTCTCCTTCATATGAGTAATAATATCCCCTTTATAATTTTTAAGGATATTCGTTCTTGTACGTTTGCTAGAACACGTCATTTCTTTGTTTTTTTTTGTGTAAATTAAAGCTATCATACTTTTTATCCAGATCTTCTATTTCTGAGAGGTGCTCTTTATCAAGAGCCACCTCTCTTTTGCCTCTGAATTTCTTTGTTTTTATTCAGGTCTTTTGCTTTATGTTTTCTTCATTCTTCAAGGTTTTGTTTTTTCTCCAAGTAGTTTGAGGGTTTCTTTTCCAACTGACATAAGTGCATGTTAAATTTTTCTCCATTTTTGGTCAATAGTTAGAGTTTCCGCATTATCTTCTTTGACTTTCCTTAAGTTCTCGTTTATTTTAAATTTCGTTTCCGCATATGTGTTGTCTTGTTTGAGACGTCTTGTTTCCATGATTTTTTTGGTGCTAGGGCTGTTGACCTTCTTTAGTTTCACTCTCATCGACAAAACAACCGGTTGTGATCGGAGGATATGTCCGCTCCTGGATAAGTTTTAGATGATATTATAGAATTTCTATATCTTCTGTTGACGATAATATAATCTATTTGATTTATGACTATTTTTTTATTATTATTAGCTGCTGACCTTTATGCAGATAGTCTACATTTAGGAAGTTTGAACAAGGTATTTGTAATTATGAGTTACTCATTTATACAGAAAGCGACAAGCCTATCGCCACGTTCATTCCTTTCCCGAGTCCATATCGCCCCACGCAATTCTCCACTTCTCATTGGCCCAGTTTATATCTTGTCTTTTAGTTAGCCTTAAGATATTGTCGATTTGTATAGAAGTTCTATATGTTCATAGAAGGCCTCTATGGTGTCTTCATCCATGTCTGCAGTGGGTGCATATACTTGAATTACATTTATTTTACGTTTTATATGAGAGTTTAGAGACAGCATTTCTGGTGTTACATTTTCCTGATTCAGGCCATTGTATATCGCTAAGGCCCAGTATTATAATTTTCATTCTGCACATTTCCGATACAGCGTTATCCAGTTTGCCTGATAAATAACTAGTATAAACTTCTTAGGTTCCATGTTCCGATTTTCAAGGCTATAGAGTTATTCTTATTTGCTTGACAGGAATTTACCTTGATGACGAACTGGGAGGCCCTGTCATCTAAATATGATTGTCCTCCCCTGCCGGATCTTGGATTCCGAGCTCCATGATCATTAAACAAATTATCCATTAGTGGATCCATGATGATTTTTACTAGGGATATCCTTACGGATCTTTAATGTGGTAGTCATCTCCTGGCTTTCAACATCTCAATGCCGTTGATTAATTTAGTTCTTCCGCCTTCGGAGTTAATTTCTATGCGCCAGGGCAATGAAGTGCCCTACCACGTGTCGGTTCTTCCACCCGTAGCTGTTGACCAACAGGTGGGAGATTACTTATACCGGTAATTGTTCGGTTAATTTAACAGCTCTAGTATCCAATCATATACCGATCCAGTATAATTTACCTTACGCTCTATCTTGGTACTGATGCTGCTCATCAAAGCCATTGTTAAAACAGGAAAACCAGTAGGCAAGCCAGAGAATTACCGTTCTCATTTCCTTACTTAGATCAGCCATAAGCTTCTCGAAAGACTGATCCTTAATAGAATTGGCCTAAAGCTACTTTAAGAAATATGGTAAAAGCAGGACTAATGCCACAAAGAAGCAATCTTGCAAAGCGACTGCTCGACTGGTAAATAACATGCTGGACAGTAGAAACTTTTGTACAACAATGAGAAACACTTATAAGATTACAACACTGAACAAAGCCCTCCTCAGGGCTCTGTATTTGCATCGCTGCTATTTAGTAGCTGATATTCCTCCTACTAGATCTAAAACAATATTACTCCTAGTGGATCTAAAAAAATGGATATGTGAAATACAGTGCACTAGCAACTTAAAACTCTTTAATCTAAAACTCCAAGGATATCATAACGGATCATCTTAAAAAATTGGTTAAATAGTATAAACAATGGAAATTTGAACTTAATAACAATAACACCAAGGTGAGCTATTTTCACTTAAACAACAAAATGGCCCACAACTAACTTAAGGTGTGCATTGAAAACCAACTGCTCAGGCACAATTATAATCCCAAACATCTAGACGTCAATCTGGATAGAACACTCGTGTCCAAGGAACACCTTGGAGATCATCACTAGGTAGACTTTGGTGCTCGGCTCTTGGAGTTGTATACTCCACGGCTGAATACTGTGCTCCTATATGCGTCCATGCGTCTAATATCTGAAACCAATAAATCTACACCAACAGAATAGCTGCCACTGCTGAGCAATATACCTCCTGATCTCCGTCAAATACATGCTTTACTCAGACAGTTTTAAACAATGAGAGTAGCCGAGATCCCGCTACACGTTTCAAGCAAATAAAATTATAGGTTATGTTACATGTCGTTTCACATTAGATGAAGTACTAAAGAGAACCTTGTTTATTGTTATAATAATTTATAATGTCGCAGAGAACTAAACGAATTTTGGGATTACGAATGTCGTTTCACATTAGATGAAGTACTAAAGAGAACCTTGTTTATTGTTATAATAATTTATAATGTCGCAGAAAACTAAACGAATTTTGGGATTACGTGTTAATAATAATACACAAAAACCATCAGGTAAGTTGCTGTCATTAAATTTATTTGAAGATCTGCTTAAAATCTGAATGTTCTACATAGCATGAACAGTAAAAAAGTTAATTTCAAAGAACAATCTAGGTATTTAATCATTTAAACGTTTTTTTTTTCATTTAAATTTTTTGATTTTTTTTTGTTTTAGACAACGAAAATGAAAGTAACGATGACAATCATACCGTTGAAATTATTACCAATATATTTCCTTCTGATTATTCCGATGATGATCCGAACTATGTTCCCTTAGGATCCGAAGCCAAAAACGAAAATTTGAATCTATCTGATAACAAGAGAAGTAATGTGGCATTGGACAGACTATCATCAAAAAGAAAGCTAAAAGTAACATAGAAGGTTAAGATAGGAAGAAACAAGTTAGAAATGAAAACGAATGGATTGACAAAAAAGTCAAAAGAGAACTTATTAGCGGTCTAGAACATAAGAACCGCAAAGATAGGTTTATACCTGCAAAGGTGAAGGTTCCTTGTAAGGATAGTTGCAGATATAAATGTAATAGCATATTAAATTTTGAAACAAGACAAGTATTTTTGACGAATTTTGGAAACTTGGAGATCATACCAGACAGTGAGATTTTCTTGCAAGGTGCGTGACACAACAAGGTAAAACGCAAATCACTGTAATCAATTCTAGGAGAAACTTTTAGCGCAAATATAAATTTATTATTGGTAATGTCGAGAAATAAGTTTGCAAGACAATGTTCTTGAATACGCTTGCGATTTCTGAAACTTTTGTTAGCACTGCATTGAAAAAAATTAGCGTAGCTGGTACCATAAAAGCAGATAAGAGAGGAAAACATAATACTAGACCGCACAAGATCCCGGATAGTGTAAAAGAATAACATTGTAGAACACATAAAATTATTTCCACTTTTATCTTCTCATTATACAAGGAAGAACTCAAAACGCATGTACTTAGAAGAAGGCTTGAACATATCTGTAATGCACCGAATGTACGTGGAATATGCCAAACTCAAAAAATGGGATGACGTCGCTACAGTTAGACAATACAGAGATACTCTAAACTCACAATTCAACAGTACATTTTTCAAGCCTAAGAAAGATTAGTGTTCGGTACGCAGTGCTTATAACAATACAGATCCGGGGAAAACAATCTCAATAAGGAATTGTCAAAAAGTGATAAATTGTTTTTAACAATATGCTTCGATTTGCAAAAGGTATTAGTAACGTCCAAGTCAGAGGTAAGTAACTTTTATTATAAGAGTAAGCCTGCAACTTATAATTTTACTATTTACGACGGCGCAATAATCAAGCATATTGCTACGTATGGCATTCTTCTTCTTCAGATGCAAATCCACTAATGGATGTTAGCGATCACATTTTCCATTAATTCTCTATTTCTTGCAATATGTATCAGATATTGTATGTCGTTAATCCCTATCCATTGCCTTATGTTTCGGAGCCAGGACATTTTCTTGCGTCCCATTCCTCTCTTGCCTTCAATTTTACCCTCGATTATAAGTTGGAGGAACTGGTATTTTTCATTTCGCATGATGTGACCTAGATACGCCGTTTTCCTTTTCTTGATGGTTTCGAAAAGTTGGCGTTCTTGGTTTATTCTTTTAAGGACATCTATATTTGTGATTTTCGCTGTCCATGGTATTTTTAGGATACGGCGATAAAGCCACATTTCGAAAGCTTCTAATCTGTTTATATCCCTCGTTTTGAGTGTCCAGCCCTCTACGCCATATAGCAGCACTGACCATACGTAGCACTTAGTAAACCTTAGTCTCAGTTGAAGATCAAACTCTGAACAAGTCAGTACTTTCTTGAATTTTACGAAAGCTTGTCGAGCTTGCTCAATGCGACATTTTACTTCCCTGTCCGATGCCCAGTCTTCAAAAAGCCACGATCCCAGGTATTTAAATTTACTCACTCTTTCAATGGACTTAGTATTCAGTGTTATGGTGGAGTTTTCAAGTGCATCTAAGTTTCTGGAGATGATCATAAATTGAGTCTTTTTGGTATTAATCTCTAATCCCATTCGCTTACTGTATTCTCCGATTATAGTGACAAGTTGTTGAAGATCGACTATGTTGATTATGGATACTCCATTCACCTTGATTCCCATCTCTGCATCCACCAAATACTCTTGAAATATGGCTTCCCAATAAATGTTAAATAAAAGAGGGCAAAGCACACATCCCTGTCGAACGACCTTTCTACGTAATGACATTAACAAATATCAAAAAGGGAGCCGAATGAAATTGCAAGCTGTTAATGGCATTTTTTAAAAGGTGCAAAACAAGATGGCATTTGAAAAGTCGTGTTAAACTCTGACAATTGCGGAGGGAAAAATCGCAATCGTTTTATTTTTTCGATGTTTGCTCGTACATCGGTAACTTTGGATCTGGAAATAACACACCGTTTCCTTGAGATGGGTCATAACCAGAACAAAAATGACGCTGTGATAGAAGTTGCAACGAAACGACATTCGAATATTTATACTCCTGACCAGTGGATTAGCCTCATAAAGATGGCAAAAGTTACTTCCCTACAGTATACAGTGAAAGAAAGGTCTCAAGAAGAGATTTTAGTTTTAAATCAATGGTTCAGAAATAGAACTAGAAGAGAACTAACACTGCGGAGGTGGTAAAGATAAGCAAAATTAGGAATTCGCTTATAAAGGTTATTTTACCTACAGTTTTGCAGAAAATTACAAAGAACTCGACATGACAACATCAAAATTACGTAAACCCCAAGAATAAAAACCACTACGTTTATACCAAGGTCTTTTACCAATTGACAGTAAAAAATTAAATGGTCTATTAAGTTTATGTAAAGCCAATTTGATACCAGCAATGTACCATGAGTTTTATAACTCCCTGCAGTGCTTCCCCCTAATCTAAACAACACCGGAGTATTATACCGATTAATTAGTCGTTAATTATTATTATAATTAGTGAGATAATGTCATTATAAACACATTGCTAAAAATAAATTATTTCTTAATTTTATTTGTTTTATTACTGTAGTATGTTTTCATAAATGAAATTTTTGTCGACGAATACTGTAGTAACTTATTCAAAAACCAAAATCGAATATTTTTATGAAATTTATATTCGTTTGCAATAATTCTGATTGCACAAATAATTACTCAGTGAAATAATGAACAACGTAGTAATGATAGTTAAAAAATTACAGAACGTCACTTTTCACAATTATTTTTAAACGCAATTATCTCGAAATAGCTTAGTTACGACAGTTTCCGTTGGAAGGGTAGATTCACATGAAATTATAAATGAAAATAAAATTTGAAATTAAGGATATACCAACAAAATGATATATATTTTTTATAGAAATACTTACAGCTTTAGGTAACCCTATGGGATCAGTAGCTGATAGTACAAGTAGAATGCACCCACCAGCATATAATATCGAAACATAAAGAATTGTATTAAATGTTCCTATAAAACTGTCTGAAATTATGGCACCAACTATTGGAAAAAAATACGCAGACATGGAGAATGTGTGGTACGTTACTAGCGACTGTGATTCAGTAAACATGAGTATATTCGTAAGATATAGGATAAGGACGGCTAAAAAAAAATATATTACAAATGTAAAATTTAAAAAATTTCAATAATAGTCAAATAAATGATATTTAGTTACAAAATATTAGATCATTTAAATATTAATTACAAATAGAAATATCAATTTAGATGAGGCAGTCAGTATCTACATAATATTTTTTTACTGTGGTCATAAACATTAAGCCACTTAATATTTTGAGTGGGATTATTAATGTTTCCTCACACACTTCCACTTCAATCTTTTCCAGATTATTCCAATATTCCATTACTTCCTCACTGGCATTGTCCTAGGATTTGTGTAGACGGGTAGCTTTCATTCTTATTTTAGCCTACCTAGTTTTATGATAAACATTACATTCCTGCCATATGCTGTTTCTAAATATTTCTCATAAATTTTATTTCTCTACTCGTATATCATAAAAATTGACTAAAGGTTACAATTTGCATTTTAAAAATCTTCGAAAAGAACCACTGTAAGAACTGCCTTCGAAAAATCTTCGAAGGGAATAAACATAATCCAATTGTTTATTTAAATTGGCAACTGCCACTAATCGAAACAAATAGCCTACTGGGAAAGTTTTACCGGCGAAAGCGAGACCCGCGTGTGGTCTAAAGGTCAATTCAGACACATCAGTCACGTCTCGTCACAGTCCTGGCGCCGAACCGAACAATACGTCATACAAAATATTCTTTAATAGAGATATGGCGCCGGCATTCACATTCATCAGGCGACGAACAGTTTGCCAGCTGTCAGATAGTTGATAGTTCTGTGACCAAAAAGGACCGGTTCGGCGTCGGGACTGTGACGGGACTGATGTGTCTAAATCGACCTTTAAGAGTTTGAGAAACGGAGATTTTGGCAGCGAGCCAAGGTAGGTATAACCTGTACTATATACCCATAATCGCGATTAAGTACCTCTCCTATCTCTCTTAGAATAATTCCTTTTTTATTTTCGTACTGCTCACCCGCCAGCTCTCGCTTGTCGGCCTATATAGTTCGCCAAATATAGCTGAAAGTGTGAAAACGCGTGACGATCATGATGCGCATTCGTCAAACGACGGACCTCGCACTCGCACTGACAGTCCATACCGTTTGTATGTGAGGAGCATCTATTAGGAGTACAATATTCCATGATCTACGCATGTCCTCAAAATGTCAAATAATATGTTGGCGCGAATTCATCAGATTCATTTGTAAACAACATATTTTTGTAAAGTAAGTAACGTATAATCTAACGTCTATCTGCGAGCTGGTTGTTTAAACCATGTATTCATACCAATTATGTTGATTGCCTGTTCTTACCTTTGCATTGAGATCTCTTAAAGAACTGTTTAATCTTAGTGTCGAAATTAAAGGTTGTTGGTGCATAGACTTGTATAACATTGATGATGATTGAGTTTTTCTTCAAGTTGTAGAAATAGCATACGATATGAGTGATATACTACATTTGTAACCCTTTTTTCTATAGCTATGCTTATTATTATTTCGATTATTATTAACATTCGAGTGCTGTTTTTAGTTATAACTTAAGTAATGTCTTTTAGTCAATGTTCATTTCTCCTAAATCAGTTCATCTCATCTCGCTTATTACGAGGATGGTGTTGTTGATTTTACTTTTCTCGAACGTGCTTCTAATATTCTAGGTACCGATCTTCATTATAGGTTATTTCTAGGTTTTACCACTTTTGCGTGGGTCCTAGCTCTTTTCGTAGATATTTTTAGCACACCTTGACCTTCTAAGATCAGCCGCGGACTGGGGCCAAATGTGTGATTATACTTTGCATAGTTATTGTTCTTGGGAGATAGTGTATTACTTTCATCTTGCTTTCTGAATTGCAGTTTTATAGTCGGTTAAATCAATATTAAAAAAAATTATTTAAAAATTCCTATATGAAAGGTATAATATTAAAAAAACCATATTGGGCTACCTCACAGAACGTTTTCGGAATTAATATTGCATTATCAGTGATATCTGGATGTACATGGTCATCTGGTCACTATATACATGGATAAAACACTTTAAATATTGTGAAATTACCTTTAAGTTACATTACTTAACTTTATAAACTAAAATGATTAAGTTACAACAGGAATAGATAACATGGCAACGTATGACCCCATCTAGAGGTGGATTGTTCTGAGGGGACTTGTTGGTAGCAACTGATACAATGCTTTTTACCCATGGATTTAGTGGCTTAAAACATGCACATACAGATAGCACTGATGATGAAATATTAAGTCCGAAAAGGTTTTGTGATATAGCCCGATAGGGTTTTTTTAAATAATAAAGTATAGTTTATAATAAAGTAATAGTTTAAATTTTGAATATACCTTTTATAAAGGAATTTTAAATAAAGTTTTTGTGATGCATGGTATATAGCCAGCTACAGGTATTTAGTTTTCTTGTGGATTACAATATTTTTGTATTGCCTATAAATGAGTGATCAAACCTGTGAGGATTAATTTTCCTCCATCTTTGTGTCACTAATGGCATAGCTGCTACCCTATGCCGTATTCTCAGTTTGTTCATGGCTATCAGTCCGTATGACGCGCCGTGTTAGATTTAATCACTCTTTCGCCCGTTCGTCTTCCGAAAAGTACAGAACAGCCCCTTAATTCAGAACTCCTTCTCCACGCAAAACGGACACCAAAATGGAACACACAAGACCAAGTAACGCCCTTAGTTCCGGGTACCCCTTAAGTGGGGAGGTGGTGCTAAGTATCCTCCGGTCTTTCAATGATGTCATTAAAATAAACCAAGAAGAGAGAATTGGCACTGAACCTGTACATCCGCAGTATAGGAGGAGAGATGAAAGAGAAAGAAAGATGAGATCTTCATCTGAAAGAGCTTTACGTTTTTCTATTATGTATGCAAGACCTTCCTGCCCGAAAACCATTTCGTTCCACTTTATATCACACTCCCATACAATTCTAATCTTTATTATTTTGCCGTACAATCTCCCTATTGAATCTAGTGACATTAATTTTTCTGTAGTTCCCACAAATCTTTCTGTTACGTTATTTGGTAATACCGAACTTATTAGCCATTAGGCCATGTTATGTCGGTAATGAGAACTTCCTCGTCCATTCTATTCTGCGGGGAGTAATATTTAGTAAATATCTCTCACCGCATAGTCTCAGATCTAGACGTTCTTGTATGACTTTTTCACATTTAGTTCAAAAATAATTCTGTTAGATTATTAATTAAGTTAGATTATTGCCATTGTTATTGAATTGAAGGTATACATATATTCTAGCCTATCTAAATTAGTCAAGTTTTTAAATATACTTACCTCGCAAGCCATAGTAGCAGAATCGTTCGCAAAATTCATTACTGATTATAAAGAATACTGACTTAGGGAAAGGAATTTTCTACAACAGAAAAAATAATAGTTCTGTTTTTTAATTATGCAGTATCTATTATAAAGTTGGTACAGTATACATCCCAATGCAAGTCTATGCAATGCAAAATCTACGTCAGAGATAAGTATACGTTGACATTTTTGCCAAATTACAAAAAAATCCTGAACTCATTTTAAATCAAATATATCACATAATTATTGCAGAAATGAATTATATAACAAAACAAATTAATATTCAATGTAAATAATTAAAAAATTAGAAATAGAAAACAAGAATTAAGTAATAATCTTACAACTTAAGCTCTGAAGTTACAATGGGCGTGACTTGGAAAACCTTTCCAAACATTTTTAACTCCTGTGTATTTGCTCCATAAGAATTTGGAACTATTGGTTTTTTAATTGTTTGAAGAGTAAATAAGGACTTTTGGTTGTGAAAATTCATTCTACGCGATTGGTGTTATTTGTTGTTCGTGAATTTATAAGGTAAGAATATCAAAGTAAAGATATTTACTCTCAATGTTTATGTTTTAAGGATAAGTTATTGTTTGAATAAGGGCCGATTGTTCGAACGCTAATCAAAACTTGATTGTAATCAAATATTTAATTACAATCAAATACGTCACAGCAGCTGTTAAAATTATTAAAAATTGCTTATTATTATTATTGATTTGTAAATAAAAACATTAAATTAACATCAGAAAGAGTTTAATTATGGTTTATTTTAAATTATAACGCAAAATAATAAAATTGAATAAAATAAATCAGTCAACATAACCTCAAAATGTGACGTATTTGATTTTAATTAAATATTTGATTACAATCAAGTTTTAATTAGCGTTCGAACAATTGGCCAGATAACTTTAAATATTTTTGACTGCATTACAAGGGATTTATTTATTATTTTTATCGGGGTTATTTCAAAGTTATTCAATAATTCATTGAATATTACTATAAGTTTACTATGGAGCTGGAAAAAAAAATAAACAACTACCATTTTTAAATGTGAACAATAAAGAAAGAAACCGAGCACATAGGATACACAGTATACCAAAAAAACATACATACCGACAAATACGGTCCGTCCCAAACCCTTCTTTCAGTGCGTCATAGTTGTTCGAATTCTCTCTAACGCATTAAGCTAGAAGTGACAGAAAAAAACGTGAGTCGCTTATTATTATACATAGAACTTAGAAAATTAGGTATCGTTCACGGGTATTCGCATATTAAAGCGAATTCTACTTACGAACGTATAATTGGTTGGAGTTTAGAATATGCTAAATAGATATCCAATCAATTATGCATATAAATATAATTTGACACAGATGATCTTGATAATGACAGTGACAGTACTTTCACAACAACTGATAAAATGATAATTGCCATTCCAGGTTAGTATTTTCAGACATTTTAACTACAGTGAAAATTAAATTTGTATTTATTGTCATAAAAATATTTTAAATATTCCGAGATATACCGAGAATGAAAAAAGACTAATATTAAAATTATTAAATTAGTTTCAATTAGAAAATGAGGCTGAGTTATCTTTATTTCAGTTTCTGTCGTTCGCGAATCAGATTGTGAATTCCGGAATGATATTGAGGAAATATCTTA